CCACAAGTTCCTGACATTTCCTAAAAAAAAGCACGTACATAACCCTCCTGTGGGAATAAAAACACCCCATAAAGCACATATATTTTACCTACTCATTGGTCTATTATCTATCATGATAGATGGTCCAAAAGAATTGAAACATTCAATGTACAAAAACCAGCAGCTCTGAAAATTTTACACTTAAGCAAATGGCTACTCCACTGGAAAAAAAGGTGAAGATCCTGACTAAGTCACTTAGTGATGTCACATAGACATCACTATGATTTACAGAAAAAAAAGGTGTGTTTTTAAGGTTTCTTACTTGAATTTCATGGAAAACAAATGAAGTGCAACTGACTTAAAGCAACAATTTACAACTGTGTTAACCCTGTAACACTTCTGGTAAGGTCAAGGGCCAGAGCCATGTTGGAAGGCTCAGATAAAAGACACCTGAATTTAAGCGTTTTGACTGAAACCAAGAAACATTATTGCTTAAGCCCTCTAATTTTTTATGCATTTGACATCTACTCATAGCACACTGTGTGACAGAGGTGGTACAGTGTGCTGCAGATGCATCAGGGCATACACAGATCTGTTCCCGCCCTTCTGGAGCCTCCAGTCCATGGAGGAACTCCACCATCCTCCATCTCTCTTCCACTTTTTGTAAACACTGTTTGGACATAAAACACACAGGGCATCAATCCCAGCACACTCTTTTTTTTTTTTTTTTTTTCTTTAAATAATATATTTTATTTTATTTTTTTCATTTTTTTTTATTATTCATATGTGCATACAAGGCTTGGTTCATTTCTCCCCCCCTGCCCCCCCCACCCACTCCCCCCCCCCAGCTCAATACCCAGCAGAAACTATTTTGCCCTTATTTCTAATTTTGTTGAAGAGAGAGTATAAGCAATAATAGGAAGGAACAAGGGTTTTTGCTGGTTGAGATAAGGATAGCTATACAGGGCATTGACTCACATTGATTTCCTGTGCGTGGGTGTTACCTTCTAGGTTAATTCTTTTTGATCTCACCTTTTCTCTAGTTCCTGGTCCCCTTTTCCTATTGGCCTCAGTTGCTTTAAGGTATCTGCTTTAGTTTCTCTGCGTTAAGGGAAACAAATGCTAGCTAGTTTTTTAGGTGTCTTACCTATTCTCACCCCTTCCTTGAGTGCTCTCGCTTTTATCATGTGCTCATAGTCTAATCCCCTTGTTGTGTTTGCCCTTGATCTAATGTCCACATATGAGGGAGAACACACGATTTTTGGTCTTTTGGGCCAGGCTAACCTCCCTCAGAATGATGTTCGCCAATTCCATCCATTTACCAGCGAATGATAACATTTCGTTCTTCTTCATGGCTGCATAAAATTCCACTGTGTATAGATACCACATTTTCTTAATCCATTCATCAGTGCTGGGGCATCTTGGCTATTGTGAATAGTGCCACAATAAACATGGATGTGCAGGTGTCTCTGGAGTAACAGTCTTTTGGGTATATCCCCAAGAGTGGTATTGCCCAGCACACTCTTGATAGCTTCCTTCTCCTGCACCATCAGCTCCGGCCACAGAGGTGACCTTCCTGCCCTCAAGCCTGTAAGGCTCAGTTCTACTTAAGAGCCTTTGCACTTGCTATTCCCTCTGCCTGAGCCCCTCTTCCTCCAGTTCTCCAAAAATGAGGCTTCTTCCCCCTCATTCAAGTCTCAGCTCAAAACTTCCTACCCCAGAGTCTCTCTGACCACCAAGTCTACAATAGCAGTCCCCCCCCTGGCCTGTCTACCATGCTCACCTTGTTTTATTATTTTCCCAGTACATATTGCTATCTGGTATTACCTCCTTTATTGCTCTTTTGCTTTGTTTCCATCTCTCCAACTCATACAGAGCTCATCAGAGCCAGGTCTGTCTGACCTGTCCACCTTAGCCCCCAGAAAGTTGCCCAGAATATTAACAGAGATCTGATAAAAAACCTACTTAAGGATTACAAATATACACAGTATTAACAGTTTTGTTCCTCAAAATCAGGTACTAAACAACAAAGGAAAAAAGAGAATACCTTCAGGAGGTAGAAATCAGGAGGATCAAGGTTCAAGTCTAGCCCAGGCAAAAAGTTAACAAAATCTCTTTCTCAACAAAGAAGCTGGGCATGGAGGCACACTCTTGTCATCCCAGCTCCATGGGAGGCATAAGTAGGACGATGGTGGATAACAAAACCCTACTTGAAAGATGACTAAATCAAAAAGGGTTAGAGATGTCTCTCAAGTGGTAGAGTGCCTGCTTAGCAAGCACAAAGTCCTGAGTTCAATCCCCACTACTGCCAGTGAGAGAGAAAGAAAGAGAGAGAGAGAGAGAGACAGAGAGAGAATGAATCTCTTAAATACTGAAAGATTTGATCAGCTCTTTAAAAAAATAAAAATATCAACAAGACCATCACAGCTTTACAGTTCTCAAAAAAAAAAAAAAGCATAATGAAAATACTCATGTCCACATTGACTAAGGTCAAACTGTAGAATGCATTAGGCTCATGTTCTATCGTTACTTCTACAATTTATTGTGTTTTTAAAAGCACTCTAATAGAGACCCCAATCTTTCTTTAAAAGGAGCAAGAACAAATATTTTTAGGCCTCACAAAATATTTCCCTTCAGAGCTTTTAGTAACCCTCTCCCAAACTGTAAAACTTGTTATCAAATTATAAACATTGAAATATGAGACACTGATGATCATGTACAGAAGACAGGGATTTTAGTGCCTAATGACAAACAAGTCTTATGAAACAAAAACTGCCCTCATCTTTAATTTCATCTAAAGCATGAACCTTTGCTAAATGTCCAAGAATAAACTCAAGAGTTTTTCCTTATAGATTTTAAAAAATTTTTATATTTGTTCCTTTCTTTTGTTGGAACAAAGGGCTACACTCTTATTAGGGGAATATGATGACTTTAGTTACTAGCATCATGGCTCACTAACACTTCACAGCAAAGATGCCAAAGATTCTTATAGATCACTTTGGAGTCATGTAAAAGCCAATGGTGTCTGCTGGGGAGAAAAGGCATTGATTTCCTGGAATGTGATGTAAAGAAGCAAGTTACTGCTGTCTTTGGGGATAACTAGAATCCACTTAAAAACCTCAAAAATGAATGCTTTACAATAAATTTACAGCAAAATATTAGAAACAACCTACAGATCTCTCAACAAAGAGGAGGTTAAATGAATTATGGTACATCCTTAATGGAGTACTCAGCTGTTGTTAGAGAATGAGACAGCTCTCCTAGGTACTGACAGAGATGGCCAGAATTTAATACTCTGTTGGGGAGGGGAAGCTGGTACAGATCAGAGCATACAATGCATCCTCACTGGTGAAAAGACAAAAAAAAAATATATACAAAATGTTTATAGAACATTAGGCTAAGTCTGGAAAGACAGATACAAGGACCCACTACCTGGTTTCTGGGAGGGGAACTGGGTGCTGCCCACAGCGGGGAGAGAGGTATACTTTCTACTCAGGAACTTTCTTGTCCAGTGTGAATGGACTGCTGCCCCACACATTGATACAGTAAATTTTAACATAATAACTTACATTATTACCAACATATTCATCAAGTAATATTAGAAAATTAGAAAACCAGAAGCAAAAGTTTTCAAAAACTCACAAAAGTTTTATTCCCTTCCATAGCACAGTCCCTGATTCTCACTTCCCAGAGGAGAATTCAAGTCTCCACAAATGAGAGAGGCTGCTCTGTGATCTCACCTATTACAAAGCAAATCAACCTCAACTCCATTCTTGCAGAGGAAACAGCTGCTCAGTACACCTTGAAAACATACCTCATATTTAAAGTGAGCTTATAATTCCCTAATAAAGCCTCCAAATGAAGACAGTTCCACCTGGCTATAAGAAAGTTTGGGTAAGAAACAAGAGAACAATCTCGTGTTTTTAAAAGCACAGACTATACTAAGGTTTCCTTTCCTCTGCCAGACTTAGACAAGGAACACTCGGATAATAAGACCCTATCACTTCAGTTTTGTGGGCAAAATAATCACTTCAGGGTAGGGGAAAGCATCATTTGCACTGAACAATAAAATAAGTGCTCTGATTTTTCATTTGTGGGGAAGGAAGGCTTGCTTTAAATTTAATTTTGGCACCATTTTCAGATCCCTGACTAATTGATACTAAGTGACGTTAATTTGACTCTAAGAAAATACTTTTTAAAATTAAAAACAAATATGAAACCGAAGGCAAACAAACTGAAAGGCAAACTTCAAGCAGAAACTTTTGTTGAAAAAAATGTATCTTAAGAGAACACAAAAATAAAACGCAAAGAACTCATTACCATATAAACGTCAGTCAGTAACAGCACCCATGTTACCCATGTTATATCAGTATCTGACTGCATTAAACACACATATAAAAAGGAACACAAAGATACCCATCTGCAAATAAAAGACCTCATATCTTTTTGGTAGCTAAGGTGGGGAGAAGAATTGCATTATTCAAGCCCTCAGGTACTTTCACAACACTTGGTGTGCAGTTTTCTGTCAGTCTGAATTCATCACCTCAGCTTTGTGCTTTTAGGTGACACATTAGAAATGGCATCTTTCATGAAGTCTAACTTTGATCACCAACCCTTTGACTCTGGGTTTGATGAGTATAGCGCTTTTGGATATAAGCACATAAAAATCTAGGTCAGTCCAACGCACTATAAATACAGAAAGGACGAGGAACTGCTTTAAGGGGCACGAAGTCATCCGGCAGGTCACATCTCCGACGTGGGGAAGAATTAAAGCTCCTTTCAATTCCCCAGGTAACCTCTGGCAAGTTAGAGGAGGACTTGGTGCCACCGGGACCCCATGTGACCCAAGGGCCCGCAGAGAGGGCGCGACCCCGAGCGGCGCTCCCCAGGGTCACTCACTGGGGACGCGTCCCCGACCAGGGCCAGCCGGAGCGCGGCCCCCCGCGCGCTCGCGACAACGCGCCCACGGAGCTCCGCAGCCCCCGCTCCCCGCGCCGCGCCCACGCGATCCCGCCACTCACCCGCACTCCCGCGCCGCTATCCGGCCATCCCCGGCCGTCTGCTCGGCCGCCGCCCCGGGGCAGCCCGGAGTCCGCAGCCGCACTGAGGCTGGAGCTGCCAAGAAGGGGGCCGGGCACCAGCCGCCGCCGTCTCCCCTCCCGGGTCTCGGCGCTGGGCTGTTCTAGGTGGCCACCGACGAACCTGGGAGCCGCCGGCACAGCCGCCGGGATCAACGATAACGGCCACGGCCACTGCCGAGACGCTCCAGCGCCGACTGCGGCGCGCGGGGGCGGTGACTGCACGCCGCTCGGCGGGGGGCGCTGCGCCCTGGCCCCGCCCCAGGCCCCGCCCCCACGCGCGGCCCCGCCGCCACTGCCCCCTGGCCCTGCCGCGCGCACTCGGCGCCGGCTCGCGCAGACGCAGCGAGAGTCCCTGCAGCGCGGGTGCGCGCGGGGCCCGGCGCCGGGGGTGGCGCCTCTTGCGAGACTCCGGTCGCAAGGCCAACCTCGGAAGGTCATGGAACAGCGGGTAGAGCGAAGCGGCCCGGCGGGTGCAAATCCTCCGGAAAGAGCGGCGTTGCTGCGGCGGCCCTGCGGGAAGAAGAGTGGCTCCAAGACCGCACGCGTTGCCAGCGTTGCACCGAGGAGAAAAAGTGGGGCCACCTCTGTGAATTCACGCGGACACCAGTGGCTGCGCTTGGGCCGGCGGGGGGGGCGGGAGCCCGCTGAGGTTTTACGTTTCACGAGTTACTTCACCTGCCCCAAGGCACTGCCACTCACATCACCTTCTTTTGGGTGCAGGGCGCACTCGGGCTGAGAGGCCCGCGGGGGCATTCTGAGAATATCCTGGAGCCATCTAGTCTTGCCTCCAAGGCGTGGTGGGCTTATTTGTGCGAAGAAGAAACGGATCCCTTAATGGGGTGAGATTTTTCCTCCGTGCATTGTTCCCATTTCCGCAGTTTCACTTGGCCTCCGTGAAATTAGCTGGAGAGCGTTTGATAGCGCAGAATCATGGTTTGAAGATGTTTACGCTCTGAGCCGGACGCGTTTAATGGTGTTCTCATCGGCACAATTAATTTTGCCAAGTTCAGAAATGTGCCAGATAGAGCTCCTGGCACGCAGTCACAGGACTCTGTAGACACACCTTTCATAGGAAGCGGCTTGTTTGTTTCATCTGTGATTTATTTGATGCACTAGCAGCAAGGCCAAAGAGAACTTGGGATGAAATTCCAAAAGCAATTTGTAAACTGGCAAAATGAAGCTTATTTTCTAAAATAACTTTTCTCTGTTGATAATGTAACTCTAAAATGAGCAACAAAATACCTGCAAGTACACTGACTGAAAAGTGGATGGGGGAGGGGGATGATAAGAATGATGGAGGGTGAATTCAACTGTCAAATAGTTATATTGTAAACTTTTGTAAATGCCACAATGTACCCCCACCACAACAATGCAAAAAAATTTTTTAAAGAACATTCCATAGACATGTTTCACAGCAAAGCATGGTCCCTAATGGTGGCCTAGTGATAAACACCACTAATGTGCATATTTTGAACACTAAAACTAAAGGCTTCCTATTATCTATAAGACTGTGTTTGGAAAACATGTTTCTATTGTGTGTATTTGAACCCCATTTAAGTTGTATGACATTGCTTTTTGTTCTCCCCGGTTCTTGAGTTCCTCATGGTTTGGGAAATTTATCATTACTCATATTGGAGTATTTTGTAACTATCTTTTCTATTAGGCCCAAGACCTATGGACCAAAGTACTTTCAGAGGCCCACAAAAAATTCTAAGTTGTTTTCAAATCAGTGAAAAAAATAACACTAATATTTAAGAAAGTGTTTCAATATTTATTATTACAGTTGTCTTTATATTCATGCAAACTTAAAATTTTTAATTCTTTTTTTAATGGAGAAAAGGACTTGAAAATGCCTAGTGCCCAAGTAAAGCAGTCCCATTTCCTAGGGACTTTCTATGGAAAAAATGTCAACCCAGGCAACAAAATAGCATCATAATTTTCACAGCACAAAAAATACTGACTTTAGGCTGGTGCTGTGGCCTACATAGTAAAGCACCTGCCCAGGAAGTGTGAGGCTCTGAACTCAAAACCCAGTACTGCAAAATAAAATAAAAATAAAATGTTGATTTCTATGACCTTGTTTTCGCTAAATGTATTTAGTATTTTAATCCTTAAAACACACCAATGAATTAGACACCGTCCTCACATCTAGGGGCTTATACAGGTTTTGTGGGCCTGGAATTTATGCAATTCTCTTGTTTCTCTATTAAGGAAAAAACAAATATAGCATGCTCAAGCTGCTCCAGCACCACCCAACACAAGGGGAAATGACAGAGGGGGAGTCCAATTGGAAAGAGACCTCATCTCAGCTGATGGTGGTGGAATATCTTACTTTTGCAAATTGTACAAAAATACAAGCCCTTGTGAGTGTATTGCCAGAGCCTTGGACCAGGCCTGAAAAAGATGCCTGGAAACTTGTGCTTCGCAAAACCTTCCTCTGTATACCCATCTACAGGTAAGAAACTTGGGAATTTGCCACACCTTTTAAGAACACCATAAAACCCACACCGGAATGAGGAATGGTTTGAAGAGCTGTTATTTACACACTTTTCCATGAGAAATAATGGATTTCATTTTCCGTAAAGCAAGGGCTTTACTGATACATTAGCAGTATCTGGGTTATGATAAAATTCTGCTGTCTGTGGTGTCAAGAGTAAATTTTTATCTGTTGTATAAAAATCTGTATTAACTAGTATAGATTCTTAAAGGAATTTCAGCTCAATTTCAAGTGCCAGGGATTGACATCATTTTTATTTACCATAACTAGACTATTTTATAAACAGTATTTTATATCATATTTACTACTTGAAGTTTCATAGATGTGGTGAAATAAGTATCAGAACAGCATGCTTTTAGTTTGATGCTTATATATACAAAGAGCCTGACACATGGTAGGTTTCTATAAATGTTTGTCAAATAAATAATGAAATAGAAAAGGTCACATAATTAAAAGTAAAAGTGTAGGATACATAACAACCTAAAGTTGAATAGAAATGAAGCAGCAAAATATTGAAGTGTAAATACTTGCTAGATAAACAGAATTGGCTTCTTAATTATTTTGTGTTCAAAATTTGTGCTTTTCTGCCCTGTTATTTGCTATTCTTCCTACTTTTCTGATTATTTCTTCTTCTTCTTCTTCTTCTTCTTCTTCTTCTTCTTCTTCTTCTTCTTCTTCTTCTTCTTCTTCTTCTTCTTCTTCTCTTTTCTTCTTCTCTTCCTCCTCCTCCTTTGTAAATAAGATTTTATCTGAAATTCTTAAATAAAATAATATTTACATAAAACAAAAAATCACAATCATACCTGTAATGAAAGTTCTGGGAATAAAAGGCTTTGTTCTTCGCCAAGAACAATCACCTACCAAAGCAGCAAGCTTGAGCTGTTTGGGGGGGTGTTATTAAATTATGATATCTTAGCCCTTAAACAAGCTTCTCTTGATGCATAATCTAATTTGTACAGTGTTTGTCAATCAGCATGACAAGGTGTGGCTGTATTTCTAGAAGACATTTTGGAACCAAACAAGAATTTACACATTAAGCACAGTGGTTCACTAGTGAATAGTTGAAAAAAGTGAAATTGTTCTTCATTTTAAGCCTGACTGACAAATGCAGAGTTGAATTGGCTTAGTTTGGAGCACAGTTTTGGACAAGATTCAAAACTTTAATTAGATCCTTATAACAAGAAGACATACGAGAGTAATCAGCTAATTTTCTCTAAATTTGATGTTCTTTACCCAAAGTGGTTTGGAAGGTTATTTAAGGGGCATGAAAAATGTGATAAACACCATGAAAGAAAGTATCTGCCCAGAATTCTGTTTAGAATATTCTTGTTCAGATAAAATGATTTCAGGGGTGTTATGTAAAATATTTTGGTAACTCATTTCATCCCTAGCATGGCCCCAATAGATTGCATTTTGTTTGCCTTTTGTTTGTTTATACTGTACCTTCTTCCAAAAAGGACTTAAGGTAGTTTACAATGAAAGACAAACATTAAAAAAAAAAAAAGTTGAAAAAACTGGCTGAGGCAAACAATAATCTATGAGCACAAAATTTAGCTCAGAGCTTCCTCATGGCTGTGAAATAGGAAATGAGGTTTTTCATAACTCATTGTCAGATGGAAGGAGTCATACAGTTTCATTTAGGAGAAAGTCTTTTCTGGCTCAGGCTCTATGAGGAATTGTCACAGGGTCCTTATATGAGAGATATAAGGACCAAAAGTCCAAAGAGAGACTCTGTACAACAGTTTGGACCATCTTTTGTAGCAAGCATAGGTAATACAGTTTTTTTTCCCTGCTGAATAACCTTGAAATTGCTATTGTTGAAAGTAAGCAATGAGTCTCCTACGGTTTTGTTTTTATATATACTGGTCTTTGAAGTTATCCAAGAATGTAATATCAAATCTTGGTTTTCTCAGTTTCCTTCTCTAAAAAAATAAAAGAGGAGTTAGCAAAAATGCTACCTCATAGGAGGGTAGAGAAGATAAAATGAGTTCATTTCTATAAACTACTTATTGCTATGTCACTTTTGGTATAGTTTTCCTCATCCAAGATGTGTAAGTGTATTTTTTAAGTGTATTTTTTTCCCTTCTCCTATTGGAAGCATCTTTTATTGTAGACTAACTCAAATCCCTTTTGGAAGAATGCCTGGCACATGTGCCTGACTCAAAGTAAGCAGTAAATATTTGCGATGAATGTCATCATTGTTTTGATTTCTACTACCACTCCTAAGTCTTTCAAAGCTTGGGGGCAGAGGTGGGGGTGAAGTGGTTAGGACATTCAGTTGTCCCTGGAGGGTAAAGCTTAGAGGACTATAAGGGGAAAGTGGGTATCACTGAGATACCTATCAAAGCTTAGAGGACTATAAGGGGAAAGTGGGTATCACTGAGATACCTATCAAACAGCCTCTGTTTTCTTTGTATTGTTTGCAGTCACCCCCTGGGTCTTGGAGACTTGTCACTTTCAAGAATTTCCTTAAATTTCTTTTACCCCATGGAAGGTTAAATGCCTCCAGCTGTCAAAGCTAAACTTCCTGGGCCACAAGCCTAGGGTTGGGGATCATCAGGAGGACCAGAAGCATGGAGACGGCCACTAAAAGGAGGGAGGAGACAGCTCTCACAAACTATCTCCTTCTGGAGTGAACCTTGACTTTCTGCCTCCATCCCCTCTGATCTGCCCTGCTCCC